GCAGTGACCCTCTAGGCCTGTAGGAGTTTAGACGGAGTCATTGGGATTCCAGGGCTGTAAATCTTTACAGAAGCAGACAGCCACACACATCAACCTCCCATTAAGGGGCTGGTGAGTTCAAATCACCAAACATTTCAGTTAGCAGTTGAGTGTACCAACAGATACCCTTGTCTAAAACATACTGGACGCTTTTTCTTTTTCTTCATTAATCAAATGATAATACTGCAAAACACATGGCTTCTTAAAAGAATGAAATGTGCATTTGCATTGTAAAAGATGGGAAGCCAAATTTCAGACCACTATTATATGAAAAATCATGTGCTTATTCAGGAATTGAAGGAATCACGTAAGTTGGAATTTCTCTTGTGACAGATCACAGGAAATGAGCTGCCTCCTGCAGACAAGAGGTAGGTAGGTCCCCTGGCAGAGTGACTGTAAAAGTTTATATGCATGAAACACTTCCTTCCTGAGCTAAGCATTAGGTTGATAATAGAGAAAAAAATTTGGCTATATTTGTTGTTGTTAAGTGCCATCGAGTCACTTGATTTACAAGAGAATTTTCTTTATGATTTGCTTCTCAATAAATACACAGAGAGGCCGGGCTTATGGCACGTCAGTTGTTTCGAACTGCTGGCCCCCTGTCTTTTACACTCTCTGTTTGCTTATACATTCTTGGTGTTTTGTCTCATTATTAATTATTAATATACTTTACCCTCAGTCTGCAATAATAAAAAACTCTTTGAAATAAAATCATTATTTCTAAAGTGTCGACTGTTTCCTGAATGCGAGTCATTATGGTCAATGCTTACATGTATCATCTCTTTTGTTGTTGTTGCTGTTGTGCACTTTTGAGTCAGAGCCCTCCAGTGGGTCTTCAGGGGCAATTAATGACCTGGTAAGAGATTGCCCATCTTGCTCCCATGGAGCAAACTCGCAGAATCCAATTGCATGCCTCTGGGATTGCGGTGCCGCTTCTCACCACTAGGCCACCGGGGCTTCCTGCTTACATGCATGATCTCTTTTCGCATTTATAGTTACTATAAGCAACTGGGAACACTTACGGTCTTTATTATTAAAATAAGGTAACTGAGAATATTAAAGATCACATGGATTTTCCAAGGCTGGGCAGTGAGTTGGCAAAGAAGCCAGGATTTGGAGGACCTATATATGAGCCCCTGTGACCAGCTTCTTCTCAACTACTTTGGGCATGTTTTCAGGTGGGGCCAGTGCTTGGAGAAAAACCACCACACTGGGAGAGGTAGAGGGTCAGGGATAGAGAGGAAGACCTTCAACAAGGTGGATCGACACAGTGACTGTGACAATGGGCTTGAGGAAGGAGCAGGATGGGGCAAACTTAGAGTTGCTGTTCATGGGGTGACTATGAGTTGGAGTCAACTGAATGGCACAAACCCCAACAATAACAATATAACCAACTGCAGAGCCAGAGCTTTTAACCATTGTAGTCTAATCTCACTAAGCCATTATCTTTCCCAACTAAGAAATTACTGCTTCAGAATCTTGTACACTCCTTGGCCTAGCGTCATGCTGTTAGGTGCCATCAAGTTGAGTATGACTCATTAGTGACCCTATGAAAAACAAACTTGAAACTTGTTCTATTCTGCACCATCCTCACAATCTCTGACCCACTCAAGCCCACTGCTGCAGTCACTGTGTTAATCCACCTGGCTGAGAGTCTTCTCCTTTGCCATCACTCTGCATTCCAAGTTTGATGTTCTTCAAGTAATAACCTTTCCTAGCAACATGTCTCCAACATAAGGGAAACAGAGCTTCCTCATCTTTATAACCCTAAGGAGCACTATGCCTGTACACTTTCCAAAAAATCTGTTTGCTGTTTTGTCAATTCATGGGATATTTAGAACTGTTCTCCAACACCACCATTCAAAGGCATCAATTTTTCTGTCATCCTTAGTCATTGTCCAGCTATCAGATTAATAGACTAAAAGACCATGACCTGAATCGGGCACATCTTAGTCCTCCAACTGACATCTTTGTTCCTCAATAATTTGAAGAGGTCTCTGACTGCAGACTTTCCCAGTGCAATGCAGCTCTTGATTTCCTGTCTGTTTGTACAAAGGATGTTAATTGTAGACCCAAATAAGAGGAAGTGATAGTCTCAGTCTTTTCTTCATCTATCATGATGTGCCTATTCATCCAATGGCAGCAATTTTTTCTTTACTGGATGATGAGATGCAATCCACATTGAAGGCTGTATTCTTTGGTCAGCTGCAGAAAGTACTTTGAGACCTTCTTTCAGCAAGCAAAGTTGTGCCATCCACACAGTGAAGCTTATTGATGAGTTTTTCTCCAAACCTGATGCCACAGTCTTCCTCATAGAGTCTAGCCTCTTCAAAGGATTTGCTTAGTATATAGATTGAATTGATATGGAAAAAGGATACAACCCTGAAGCACAACATTTCTAATTTTAAACCATGTAGTGTTCTCATACTCTGGTCACTCAACAACCTCTTGGCTTCAGTATAGGTTTCACACGAGTACAATTAAGTGCTCTGGGATTCCTAGTCTACTTCATGTTACCCATAAGTTGTTAGGATCTACACAGTCACATGCCTTTGCATAGTCAATAAAGCACAAATAGATATTCTGGTATTCTTTGCTTTCAGCTAGGATCCATCTAACTTCAGCAATGATATCCCACAGTCTCTTCTAAATCCAGCTTAAACTTCTGGCAGTTCCCTGCATATATACTAGTTCTAGTAATTTTTGAATGATCTTCAGCAGTATTTTGCTTGGATGTGATATTAATGTTTGTTGTTGTTGTTGTTCTGTGACTCATAGCGACCCTATGTACAATAGCCCTAAACCCTGCTCTGTCCTGTGCTAATCTCACTATCTCCTACATACCTACTTCCATTATCCCAGTCACTGAATCAATCCACCTCATAGAGGCTCTTCCTCTCCTGTGCTGTCCCTCCACCCTACCAAGCATGATGTCCCTCTCCAAGGACTAGTTTCTCCTTACAACATGTCCAAACATGTCAGACAAAGCATCGCAATCTTTGCCTCCAAGGAGCAGCCTGGTCTCACCCTCTCTATGACAAACCTGTTAGTTTTCTTAGCAGTTCATGGTATATTCAAAACTCTTGTCCAATACCACAGTTCAAAGGCATCAATTCTCTTTCTATCCTCCCTAGTCATTGTCTAGCTCTCTGATGCATAGCAAATGATTGCAAAGACTGTGGCCTGTATCAGATGCACCATAGTCTCCAGAATGACATCATTGCTCTTCAGTACTTTGGAGAGATCCCTAACAGCAGACTTTCCCATCGCAATACTCTTTTGTTTCCTGCTGCTGGTGCCAAGAGTGTTGACTGTGGAGCCAAGCAGACTAAAGCTGCTAACAATCTCAATCTCTTCACCACCCATCCTGATGCTGCCAATTGGCCTGGTGGTGAAAATCTTTGTCTTCTTGGTATTGAACCTCAATCCGTATTGAAGGCTGCAGTCCTTTACTCTCTTCAGATCCTCCTCAGTTTCAGCAAGCAGGGTTGTGTCATCTGCATAATGCAGCCAGGCTCTTGATAAATCTTCCACCAATCCCAATGCCACACTTCTCCTCATACACCCCAGCCTCTCGGATATCTGTTCTGCATATAGGTTGAAAAGGTATTGAGATAGGACACATCCCTGGTTTACACCCTTCCCAATTTTGAACTATGCAGTGCTTCCTTGCTCTGTTTTGACGACTGCCTCCTGGTCCAAGTGTAGGTTTCTCATTAGCACAATCAAGTGTTCTGGGATTCCCATTCTTCTCAGATATTAATGATATTATTTGATGGTTTCCACATTCTATTGGATCATTTTTCTTGGGAATGAGAAAAAATATGTATCTCTTCCAGGGAGTCAACCAGGCAGCTGTCTTCCAGAGTTCCTGGCATAGACTGGGTGAGTACGTCCAGAGCTGCATCTTTTATTTGAAACATGTTAAAAATGGTGTTCCATTCATTCTTGGCGCCTTATTTTTTTTTACCAGTGCTGTCAGTGCAGCTTGGAATTCTTCCTTCATTATCATTGATACTTTCTGAAATATTTCATTATCATATGATACTTTCTGAAATATTTCAGTGTCAACCAATTCTTTTTGGTACAGTGACTCTATCCATTTCCCCTCTGTCTTCTTTTGATATTGTTCAAGATTTTACCCATAGCATCTTCAAGAATTGCAACTTGAGGCTTGTTTTTCATCAGCTTGAGGGATGCTGAAGGAGTTCTTACCTTTTCTTCTCCAATTCTAGGTCTCTGTATATACCATTATAATAGTTTGCTTTGTCTTGAGCTTCTTTTTGAAATCTTCTGCTCTGCTCTTTTATTCCAGCATCTCTTCCCTTGTTTTTGTCTTCTTAACGCATTAGTGCAATTTTCAGAGTCTCTTCTGTCGTCCATTTAGGTTTTTTCTTTCTCCTCCTCCTTTATATTAACCTTTTGCCCTCTTCATGGATGATATCCTTAATGTCGTCCTACAAGTCATCTGGTCTTCGATTACTGGTGTTCAATGAATGCTTCATACCTATTCTAAAAATGATTTTTAAGTTCAGGTGGGATCGACTCAAGAATATATTGTGGTTCTCACGGACATGTTTCAATTTTCTTCAGTTTCAATTTGAACTTGTGCATGAATAATTGATAGTCTGTTTCTCCTGTGCCCTCGGGTCAGCACTCAGTAAATATTAGCTGATATACACACATACACCAATAAAGTCTGAGGACACCATAGTTAGAGACTGAAATAGCAGTCCAGGAAGACAACTCCTTATGTTGCTTTTCAGTGTCTAATTACTGAACTGAGAGGTAGGTAGAATGAATGAACAGAAATTCAGAGTGAGAAAATCAGAATTTTGTCATAAGCAGGGATTTTGGCTGAGGCTCTCTAACCTAGTTCTCATTGTTCTCTGAGGGCCCATAGCGATCAGTCGTGAGTGGGCACGGCTGGGGATCCTGAAGCGTATTCTCATTGTACTCACATGTGAGCCACTTTGCTCATGTTGTAGAAGGAATGCGATTCCAGCTGCTGCAGGGTTGCATCTCTTGAGAAGTAGCTAAATGTCACAAAAATACAACACAAAGTAGGAAGTTAGCAGGGTTGTAAAACATACTAATAATTTTATTAGTATATCAAACATACTTATAATCTTGATATAACTTTTTCCCCCCAGAGGCTTTCCAGATCATGCCACATTCACAAATCCTCCTGATTTCAACTTGCATTAAAGTTTGTTAATATTAGAGAATCCTGGTGGTCTAGTGGCAAGAAGCTGTGCTGCATTCCTGAAGGTGTGCTGTTTGAATCCACCAGATGCTCCACTGGAGAAGGAGGGGCAATCTCCTCCAGTCAGATCCAATTTGATGGCCACAACAACAATAACAAATTTATTAATATACATATATTTCATTTCAGGATAACTGAAGTGTCCTGACACAATAATCTTTTCCTTTAAGTCTCATTCAGATGCTATTTACTTCAGAAGCTCCTCCAAGATCACGTTCCTCACTCAGCACTACAACTTTCTCCTTTCACTAAAAATAACATCATTCTTTTCCAGTGATTACTATGACATTTGTGCTATGCTCTTTAACTCTCTGAAATGAAAAATTACTTTGATTTTGCTGAGCATTGAACTGTGAATTTCTTTCACAGTGTTTGGCATTTAGTAGACTCAAGAAGTAAGTTCTAAGTGAATGAACAAATGGATGAATACATGAATTATTAACAGTAGCAGAAACTGCAAAGTTTTAGAAAAGAATAAAGAAATTCATAAATTGTTGTTATTATATGCTATTGAGTTGCTTGCAACACATCGTGAACCTAAGTATGATAGCTCTGAACCCTATACCTGTCCTAAGCCAGTCTCACTGTCTCCGACACACCTGTCCCATTACCCCAGTCACTGTGTCAATCCATCTCATCATCTCAGTCTTCCTCCTCTGCACTGCCCCTCCACCCTTCCGAATATGGTGTCCTTCTCCAAGGACTGATCCCTCCTGGCCACATGCCCAAAGTATGTGAGACAGAGCTTCAAAATCCTGGCCTCCAGAGAACAAGTTAGTTTCACCCTCTCCAGGACAGACCTTTGTTTGTACCTGTGACAGTCTATGATATGTTCAATACGCTTCTCCAGGACCACATCTCAAAGGCATTAATTTTTCTTCTATCATCATTATTCTTTGTCTACCTCTCTGATGCATAGAAAGTAATTGCAAAGACCAGGCACACCTTAGCCTCTTTTTATAAAATCATTTTTTAAAATTTTAATAATTTAAATGAACATTTACCGAGATTTTGGATTTCCATTAATTGATTGTTGCACTTTTCTCCCTGCCCGGCCCTCCCCTCTGCCTCCCAGTTCGCTCCTCTCTTTGAAAAGTATAAGAAAAATTCCTTTTTTGGTATACAATCCCCCCTGCACCCCTCCCACCACCCCAAGTAGTGCAACCTTATTGTGGACTCTTGTGATAACTATAATACTCTATCATATATTGCTTTTAAATTATTCTCTCCCTCATCTGTTTCAATGTAGTATACACAATTTATCCAGTTTTTCTCAGTCTTACCCCAACCCTGATATCAGTCCCATTTTACAGCAG